GAGCAGCATACCCCCCATATACTCAGAAGACCATCCAGCTTCCCACGTAGACAAGCCATGATTGCCAACCTAAGGATTTGCATGGTGTTAAAGGCAAGCAAAATCAGAACCATCTAGAACACCTGATTGTAATCTAGTGCAAGTAAGAAACGCAAAGCCCGACGGGGTTGTCAGGTCCATGGCCCCAGGGCGATTGGTCACCCGATCAAAAGTAATATCCAGGGCCACTGCTCTGAGGTCGTGCATCCGAGCGACTCTAGCAATCATAGAGACACCTGCAAAAAACTCGATGACATCATATTCGTAGTTGTCGAGCTTTGATTTGGCGTGCCAACTCACGAGGAAGACCAGTAGGATGAAGGTCTTAGGTCATTCATGCCACAACAACTACGGACAGCACACTGAAGCAGATGATCCTACCATTCAGCCAAAGATCCTTGGGTGCCTCCAAAGCAATCAACCTCCGAATCACAGTTTCCATCTCAGAGGAGCGGACCATGATTGGGCCGTGGCAGCAAAGCTATGGGAAATTCTGCATTGGTAACTGATGCAAGACCATGGTAGCACTGCGACTGCGGGCAATTTACACTGCACATGCACCTGCAATCTACGATGCGGTGTTCGGGCACATGTAGCAGTAGCACCTGCCTCCTGATTGTGAGCGCATGCACATGCAAGCTTTCATCCCAAACTAGACTGCCATTAGAAGCACACCGACTCATACCCAACCCCACAAACCTGAATCCCTAAACACCCTAAATACCCGGGTCCTATGAACCCCACCAACCACAAATTAGACCTACAAGAAGAGCTTAAATCTAAAACCCTAAAACCTATGAGGAGTCCTCCGAGGAGTTCGAACGGTGTCAGTTTTTATCCTACAGGACAAACACTGTCGGTGGGTTTGGTGGTTGGGGTATCTCGTTGGGCTGGAGTAGCTGTAGCAGGGTTGTCGGATGTGTGAGAAGCGCTAAAGAGCTCAACGTTGCCAGCTGCATGAATAGACTATGACATATGGTTACTATCAGGATTGCTACAACGACGACTCCTATGTTACCTACTAGTACTACTACGAGTACTACTCCCACCGCCACTACTACTACTACTACTACTACTACTACTACTACTACTACTACTAAATACTACTACTACTACTACTACTACGACTATTTCCTTTTCATTTGCCCCCGGGTTGTCTCACCATCAACCCTCCCTGTAGGGGGCAAACGAAAAAGAAAAACATACCACGACGACTACCACTACTACTACTACTACTGCTACTACTACGACTATTGCTACTACTATTTCCTTTTCATTTGCCCCCGGGTTGTCTCACCATCAACCCTCCCTGTAGAGGGCAAACGAAAAGGAAAACATACCAGTACTAGTACTAGTACTAGTACTAGTACTACTAGTACTAGTACTAGTACTACTAGTACTACTAGTACTACTAGTACTACTAATACTACTAGTACTACTAGTACTACTAGTACTACTAGTACTACTAGTACTACTAGTACTACTAGTACTACTAGTACTACTAGTACTACTACTACTACTACTACTACTACTACTACTACTACTACTACTGCTACTACTACTACTACTAGTACTACTACTACTACTACTACTACTACTACTACTACTACTACTACTACTACTACTACTACTACTTCTACTGCTACTATTATTATTGTTACCACAACTAGTAAAGTACTGGTACTGGTACTATAGTGCTAGTACTCGTCTAGTACTAGTAATAATACTAGTACCTGTTCTACTACGAATACCAATACTAAGACTATAGTACACGTATTTGTATTACTAGTACTAGTACTAGTAGTACTACTACTACTGCTGCTACTGCTCCTGCTACCGGAGTTGATGGTTTCAGGAATGTGATTGAGCCCGGTGTTATTCGGTGGAAGGTTTATTGGGGCGGGGCGGGTTGAGGGTACACGACTATTCCCCTTTATCATTATTGTATACTACTGGGCGTATAGTATTTCTGCCACCTCAACTACATCCCTATAGCCCTCTAAGTACAACCTTGCACTACTCAGTTAGCTAACCCAATCCCAAGCCGAGGAATGCCGGGCGGAGGGCACACCTGCTGTTTGGCCAGTGCCGAACTTCGCATCGTGGACCATCGCACCTTGGGGCTCGAAGGTATAGGGTTTCATGGGTGTGCTTAGATAGCTTTGCTTCATGAAGGTTGCTGTAGCGATAACGACACTGCGGGTTCGCGGGGGTTCTACAGTTAATTGGTCTGGGTGGTACTTAAGCACATGGCGCCTACCCGGATTGAACTCATGTATGCTCGGCATCCAGTGCATGCAAACTCACAGGAGTGCAATTGTTTCACACATCGGATCAAATCTCGTGTGGCGCTTAAAGACCTTGAAAGTATGCAGTGAACCCATCAAGCATAGGGGCCAAAACGCATTCGTCTTCTGCACAAATCCTGTGGTAGTCAGTGTATTCTTACGACGTTTGCTTTATTAGAAGGCCCTCTACACCTGATTGACACCCCTTCGAGTCAAACTGGCGACTCTAATCATCGGCCCGCACAAGGTAGCCGTCACAACAACTCCAAGTACAGGATGCCAAAATCAGCTGCTCGGCTTCGGCTTGCAGACACGAACAACATCCGGTTCGATGTGGTGCCAGCGAAAACCACACAAGCTAGAGTAACATACCATTTGTCATTGCATGCAAGCCAGGCCGGCCTGAGGCAACAAGCCCGTGTTTTTTCACGGAACCGAAAGCCATCAACATTAGCACTGCTGCTTGCCCGCTTCGCGGAACTGCATCTTGCAGGCATGCAAGGATGCCTTCGTGTCTTCATCGAGCTTGCCCTTTGCCTGCTCGATGATGTTAGCCTGGGATGCACAACAGGCGGTGGTAGGCATGCGACTTGCATGTGTTGCATCTCAGAGAATGTCACACGGCCGAGTGCATACAGACCGTCATTCAAGCTAGGGTGGCACATGTCGCCGCGAAGTCCAAGTGATCCTTCATGGAAACGTTGGGGTTGGCGAGGTAGACAACCTTTCGGATTGCACAATACCAAACATCAGAGCTGTAGGGTATGACATTAGACAAGGATTTACAAGCCTGCTTCCCACAATCGGTCTCCACGTTTTTCAGCTTCAGCCCCACTGCATTCTTGGTCCAGTAGATGGACCACTGACTGTAACTGTAAGAAGGAATCTCGTAGGACTGTCGCTTGAGTTTCTCATCCTCCGGGACATCCTTGCGCTTGCGGATGGGTCTGCCGGCAGCATTCTTTGCGGGATCACCCTCCTGCTCCGTTGCCTCTTTTGCCGCCTGCTTGGCCTTTCCTTTTGCTTTCGCCTTGGGTTTCTTGGGGCTCTTCCGGGGTGTTCCTGCTGCTGCTTCCTGCATCGCTTTCTTTGCTTTGCTTTTTGGCTTCTTGTTCGGCGACAAAACCTTGGGCAACTTCGGTTGCTCTGCTTCCTGCTGCTCCGGTGCTTGCTGCTCCTCCTCCTCTGCTTCCTTCTGCTCCTGTGCCTCTTCGCCATCCTTTGGCCTGGAGCCCTTCCTACCACGGCCTCTTCCTCGACCGCCGCCTTTACCCCCACGGCCACCACGGCCTCTTCCCCCACGGCCACCTTTCCCCTCCCCGCTGTGATTGCTTGCAGCCGCTGCGGCGGCTTCTGCTTGCTCCTCATCCTTCCTTTGCTGTGCAACTTTATCCTGCCTCTCCTTGCTGAGGTCCTTCATGGCCTGCGACAACACAGAATCAACTTAGCGGCTATATGCATTCTAGGACGGTATATCCTACCTACAAACCCCAGTCCTCCTCATCGTAGGCATTTGCACGACGTAGCATGGAGTTCCCAGCAGGAGCCGGGGTTGCACCGTCACCCCCAGCCACATCCCCTGAAGCTGTCAACAAAGGAATTCCTGCTGTGGAGACTTCCTGCGGCGGCGGGGTGACTACCTGCTTCGGCTTCTTAGGCTGCACAACTTGGCCGGATCGGAGTGGCGAGTCTTCAATCTCGATAGGCTCGGGCTTCACATGCTGGCTCCACTGCTCAGAGATCGCACCCAGGTCTGATGGGCAAGTATCCAGTGTACCTTACGATAGTGTCTGGAAATCATATTATCGACTGGAGAAAGAACAATAGAGCAAGATAGAGTGATGGAGAGAGCGAGAGAGAGAGAGAGAGAGAGAGAGAGAGAGAGAGAGAGAGAGAGAGAGAGAGAGAGAGAGAGAGAGAGAGAGAGAGAGAGAGAGAGAGAGAGAGAGAGAGAGAGAGAGCTGTCGAGCTGGCAAGGTGCTCGGGTCCACCACTGGTCCGGGCACGGCGTTCTTGGCCTGCTGCCTGTGCTCGATCCTCTGCCTGGCCACTGCGTGGACAACATCTACATATACTCAAGGACCTGCACAGAACAGCGTGATGATTCTAAAATCCGACAGCTTGCGCAAAAGCTGCCTGAGTTCCTTCAAACGATCCTTCATCAAAGAGATAGCCCGGCGTCGGTCTGTCTCAGACTGGGGCAGCACTGGATTGCTAGACGGCTTTGAACCCTCTGAGCGAGTCGTGCTGTCCGTAGCCGGTTCTGCTGGGTCTTCCTGGTTGTTGTGCTTGCTTGCTTTCAGAATCTTTGCTGCCGGTTCTGCTGGGTCCTTCGTCTCGTCTCGCCTGCATGCTTTCAGAATCTTTGCTGCCGGTTCTGCTGGGTCCTTCGTCTTGTCTGGCCTGCATGCTTTCAGAGTCTTTGCTGCCGGTTCTGCTGGGTCTTCCTCGTTGTTGTGCTTGCTTGCTGACGGAATCTTTGCTGTGGGTTCCGCTGGGTCTTCCTTTCTGTTGTCCTTGCTTGCTGACGGGATCTTTGCTGCGGGTTCGGCTGGGTCCTCCTTGTTGTCGTTCCTGCTTGCTGAAGGAATCTTCGCTGTGGGTTCCGATGGGTCCACCTTGTTGTCGTGCTCGCTTGCTGACGGAATCTCTGCTGCGGGTTCTGCTGGGTCTTCCTTGTGGTGTTGCTCAATTGCTTCAAAAGTCTCTGCTGCTGCATCGTTTGCAGCATCTGCAAGCAGGACCTCGGGCTGGAATAGAGCATCACCATCCGAAGTATCACAGTCAAAGGAGGCATCCTCCTCGTCTTCATCATCGTCGTCATCACCTTCACCCCCCAAGCTGCTTTCAAGCTCAGCATAATCCATGTCATCCTCGTCGGCGGAAGCTTCCCCAGCCGTAGCCTTACATATGTTTAAAGCACAGACAGAAACCGTGGTAGTGCCGGGTCCTCTAGTCGACTGCTGCATGTAAGCTTAAGAACACAAGACAGGCAACAAGAGTTTCATCGTCATCCTGCTCGTGAATTCTCTCGGGCGCCCAAGCTGCCAGGAGGATGCGTCGCAGCTCGCGCACCTTGGGGTCCTTGGATGAGGAGCTTCATCAATCGCTAATCAAGTTATGAATGCATGCTTTGTCTTGTTGGGGGACCTACCTGGAGCTATACAGTGCTAGGTGTCGGCACTTCGACCAGTCGATTTCCACCGACGGATGTAGTGGCTCATCATCTTACGCATCCCCCAACCATCGCTTTGAATCCGAACTTTCGTAGCCTGCTGGTTCAGATCCTTGAAGAGCTGGCGAACCTGTTCAGGGTTTTTGGTGGAGTTCTCAGGGTTTGGGTGTTCTCACACTACACAACGGGTGCTCAGATATTGCAAATGTGCCTGAAGCTGCACTTGGGCCAATGACGGGGTCCGCTTCTTGTCACATACCTGTGTCCAAACCGTGAAAAACTCCCGGACCGCCTCGAAGTTCAATGCACTGGCAGCATACGAGGCAGTCCCTGTAGCTTCCACAGATTTCCACTGCATCAGTGTGCCGTGGAACAACACGTTGCGCCTGACAGTGTCACATTTCTCCCACCTTTTGGACAAGCCATCCAGCGAGTAGCTGGGAATCTCATTCTTCGGCTGCCCACAGCCCGCCATGAACACAGGATAATCCCCGAAGCGGGTAACCAAAACTTCGGATGGCTCACTTGACCCCAAATGGGCTAGAAACAGTCGCTTTGCACGGGTCCAAGTTGAATGTCCCAAAGCCTAGATACATGGATGGCTCACTTGACCCCAAATGGGCTAGAAACAGTCGCTTTGCACGGGTCCAAGTTGAATGTCCCAAAGCCTAGATACATGAATCCTCGGCAGGATTGACGAATCGCTGAGCGAACCAAGCCCCGGGCAGACGATGATGGAGGGGTCGTAAAAGGGCAGGCACGATGCGGCAGTACCTGGCTGGGTAAAGTTCATATGTATATATATATATATATAAGTAGCAGCTTCAAGCGAGCTATCGAGTGCAGCGGTCTGCAATTGCTTCGCACAAATCCGTGGTTCGTGTCTTTCCCTAGACCCACGCACGGCTTCTGCGATGCTCGAGGTCAAAAGATCAAGCCCGGCTGTAGCTACGGAGATCTCTTGGGTCCCGGTGTCGGGAACTCTTTTGAGCAACCCAAGTCTGGACTAGGTTTCATCTTCTTCGTGGGTGCCTTAGATAGCTCGTCATGGCTATTGCATGCGACTGCTCACAAAGCTTAGGAAGGCAACGTGGATATTGCAGCCAACAAGCTGGGGAATCACGCAAGCCTTATAGCATTCACCAGTCGGCAGAGGCACAGAGTGCTCCTAGCATTGGTACATGTAGCCGAGCAACACTGCTTGGTCCACTTGTGGACCAAGTGCATGACTATCCCACGGCGCTCGTAATTATTCACGACAGCCTTCACCTTGTCGAGTGGAGTAAGATGCGGCTCCTCACAGAAACATGCTGATTTGGAGGGTATATTCGATGCACACATATATCATACAGGGATCCTAGCTAGCTATATAATCCTCAGGGAACTGGAGGGCATCGATCGACTCGGTCCAGAATGTCATCGGCAAAGAACGCAGGCCTCACCCAGAAACCAAAGCGACGAGTGTACATGGATTCACTAGCCACTAGCCCTATATGATCCAATCCGAGACAAGGGCCTTTGCTCTCGAGAAGCTGCCATGAATCCTCTACGGCAAGCTTCAGCTCCATGCTACTGTTCCTATATGTTTGTAAATTTCCCAATGTCCCTCAAACATAAATTGCGCAAAGCTTGAAGAGCTGACAGCAAACGGCCAGGCAAAGCCACTGCCAACATGAGCAGCATACATGCTTCAGTGAACTGGCACAAACTGGAATTGCAAAGCACAGCTGGGCACGTTCGGGTCATACTCGGACCACAAGCGCCGGCATCGTCATTCTCGTGTAAGAAGTTAACTATGTTTGTTCTTGCATGTATATTTGGGGGGCATCTACAGGGCTCGATAGAATTATATTTGCTGGGCCACGAATTCGGGCGTATAGTTTCCGGGCTGTTTAGAAACATCTTGTCCTTCGATGGAATTATTGCTGGGCTACGAACAATTAGACATATCATTAGTCGCTCGATCGAAATATTTGCTGGGCAACGAACACTTAACTGTGCATCTTGTGCTGAGTTCAGCCTGCCATCGAGCCCGATGTGTCAGCCTTCGCGAAGAGCGGGATGAAACTAAATCAGCCTTCGGATTATGGCAGGATGGGACTTCATGGGTTTTTCGCACGAATCAGCCCTCAGAAAGGTCGGAGGCTAATTTATTAGCCTGGGCTGATTTTGCACATTATCCTTCATAGACTAGGTCCAGACCGAAATAACAAGCCATCAGGACACACCAGGTGGTCCTTGCGTCACAGAGGCAGCGCCACGAACGCCTTCACCGCTGCCGCCCAGAGCGTCTTCACCGCTGGCCCCACGCACACCACCACCTTCCGGTGCTTCTCGCGCAAGCGTTTCAAGGTCTCCGAGTGTCGGCACAGTCATGAACTGGCTTGACTGCGAGCCTCCAACTTCTCCTCCAGGTTTGCGTGACAGCCCTATGATTGTGAACCTGAAGCCCCAAAGCCCTAAGCCCTAGAAACCCCAAGCCCATAAGCCCAAAAGCCTAAACCCTAAGCCCCATAAGCCCTAAACCCAAAACCCAAAACCAAAAACCCTAAACCCTCAAAGCCATAAACCCCTCGATTTGGTCTTGGTCAGGTCAACTGGACACTCCACCGACTCGTGCCTTCAAGGTTTGGTACGGCAAGCAGACAGCAGCATGCTGGAGTCGCGGTTTGGCCTCTCTGGTGACACTATCAGACGACGAGGATGCCGCCCACCCCGCTCCGGTTCCGTGGAATCCGCACACATTGCAGGCCGTGGGCCTTCCCTCACCCTCAACTCTCTTGTGTCTTTTGCTTTCGGTCTTGCGCTTCAGGGGTTTTGGTTGTTAAACCCTAAACCCTAATTAACCTTATAAACCCTAAACCCTAAACTGATAAGTGCTTTGCTTTTGCCAATATTGAGACCGTTTATAGTTTTGGGGTTTTTTTAAAGCCGTATGCCGTGACACTCTTTGTTTTCGACTTCTTGCCCTCGCGCGCAGGCTGCACGTCAGGATCCCATTTTGCAGTTTGACGAAGAATCTCGGCTTGCTGCTGGAGGTCCAGGTGCTTCCAATGAGCAGCAATGCCAAGAACATCGCGACGTTGCTGCTGTAGCTCCGGCTGCTGCGATTGAGCAGCTTGAGCAAATAGATGACGTAGCTTCCCCTGGCACAGACTCCGCACCTTCCCCTGCTGTTGCCCGTAGTCCTAACTGGGGTATATGCCCACAGTGTGGCATTTACGCTATGCATCCTCATGTTTACGCTAGCGGACCAAAGAAAAACCGCTTGTATTTGCTTTGCAATGGCTTCAACAAGCGTTTCGACAGTGGACGTCGGAAGTGTTTTGGGGATCGACCTTTCCCTATGTCTCGTATTTTCGAGGCTCCACAGTGGGCCCAGGATCAATTTGGAGGCGTGCGGCATGCTACACGTGCACGGTAGCAAGTACTGAGAAGCAACGCACGGTAGTCAGATTGAAAATGTGCTGCTAGGTCTTGACTGCACGAGCTCGCAGGAAACAGCTCTGAGCTTGCGCCTCGTGCAGCAATTTTGTGGCTCATCAGAGCCAGGGCCTCCTGAGTGCGATGGGTAAGAGCACTCGTGCCCGCCAGGGTACTGTTCACCGCTGCTCATGTTGCGGCTCCTGTGCCCACCGCCTGGAAACATGCCCACTTCCTGGCGCCAAAGTCATTCGCCAGCTCAAGACGAAGTTGGCCGGACAGTGGAACTCTTGTTTAAAACAATTTGGAATCAAAGCTTCCGTTTTTTTCCCGTGGCCTTCACCAACGCAGGACGTCCCAAGGGCAAGAAGTTCAACACCAAGGAAGTCAAGAAGAATCCGTGTAAGCGCAAGGGCGTGCACAAGAAGATCGCTATGACGGCATATCAGGGCTCGAGCCAGGCCGAAGCAAAAGACAACCGTGCAAAACACGTTAAGACTTCCTGGAACCTGGGCACTCGCATCGACGTCAGCCACATCAACACCCAGGAGGAAGCTGTCTCATGGCTTTATGCAAATTGCTTGCACAAGCCTGAGAAATGCAGCCAGTGTGGCAGCCGTGCTGTTACCGGTCCGCACAGCATGGAGCGCGATGACAGACAGGACTTCTGGCACTGGCGGTGTTCGGATTGGCGCTGCCAAGCGCGCATGCAGATTTGGACCGGCACCATTTTCCATGCTTTGCAGGCAGGCTTTGTTGCAGTTGTGTCTTCAAAAGTAAACCTTCAACCCTCAACCTAAGCCCTCAGAATTTTCACTGCCAGATCCTTCCGCTGATGCTCTTGAAGCTGATCGTCTTCTATGTCTCTGAGCCCATCTACTCCTATCCTCTCTCGCGTGATTACGTGCAGCATTGTGGCGTTGGCAGATGCAAAGCAGAGCACTTTCTCTGTGCTTTGCGCCAGGCCGAAGCTGAGGCCGGAGAACGCGCTTGTGCCCGGATGAGACTGAGCGGCTGCGTGGAAGCAGACGCTACAAGCTTAGGCGTCTTTCACGTGAAGCGCACCTCGGTGGCGTTTGCACAAGAGGTTCCTGGCCCAGCTGAGAGCTGGCGAGATGTATGTGTTGCAGACATGCAGTCCAGAGTCGCTAAGTCAGGAAGGTGTGCGATTTATGCAGACGGTGCTTCATGGTGGCGCAGATTGGCCAGAGAGCTCCGAGTGCCCATCTTCGAAGCCATTCATCAGCACAAGGACTTCAGCTCACGGCTGCCCCGGAAACCACAGAGGTTGTCGCAGCACACCGGAACGCAGGTCATCGACAGGCATTGGCAGACCTTGAAAAAATTCATACCTCGAACCATTAAGAAACGAGTCCGAGGTGGGGTCAATCCGGAAATCCGGAAAACGTGCTTCCAGTGGTGCTGGCTTTGCAATGCCAATGCAGGAACCCCACGTGACTTTTTGAAAGCGCTACGAAAGCTCACCAAGGCGTAAGCTTGTGCTTTCTCCGAAAGAACACACAGCCTCTATCAAGTCACCCCAAGATAGCCCTGAAACTTTTCTCAGGTTGTCACTGCGAGCGACGGAGCTAAGCAGCTAAGCACTTAGGATCTTCAAGTATGGATGCTGGTCTCACAGAGCGACAAGGCATCGGTGGAGCGCTTGAGATATGTTTTGAGGGTTTCTGCTCCAGACCTTTTCCGGGGTCCCCCCAGCCTCAACCCTAGGTACAGGGTTTTGTGTGGTCATTCGGGTTGAGGTGCGACTTTGGCCTGGGTCTGTGTGCAGGTTGCGAGTCTTGAGGGTTCACAGTGTTTCAGACAAGAGAAAACCACACCCCAAAAACAGCATTTCCTGCTGTAAATTAGCTGATGTGTCACTAAAAATGAATAGTTTGAGCTCTTGCTAATAAATTGAAATTTAGCTAAAATCATACCAAACCTAGGAAATAAGCACATTGAGACCCTTGAAAGTAGCCAGGCGCCTCACGCGCGTGTGACCTATTAGTTGGGGGCGTTTTATGTTTGAAAATAGTAGTGAATTTAAAGAAGTTTTAGACACTCAATAGAAGTTATATATCAGAAATGGAGACACGGCGGGAGAAATGAATTTAACAATAGGATTGGAAAGTAGCACACCGGAAATACAATTAACTGATGGTAAAGTAACTTTATTAGGAAATTTGGAAATAACACATGTTGATGTTTCAGGCTCACAACGGGTATTAATAAATAATCCCGATACGGATGGGTTTATTAGATTAAGTAATAATAACTTGTCAAGACTAGACGCCACAAATAAAGGTGTTGATGTTTATGGGTTCTTTACTACAACTAATAACGCTGATATTGGAGGAAATTTAACCTGTGTGGCTTTAACTGAAACATCAGATTCAAAGTTAAAAGAAAACATAAGAGAAATCAACACGAAAGATTGCTATAAAGCAGTTAAGTATATCAAACCGAAAACATACAATTTTATTAATGATGAAGACAAAAAAAAGCCATATTGGATTTGTAGCAGACGATATAAAGGATGCTAAAATGCCACCGGAATGGGACAACATAATATAGTATAGTGATGATGGTATGAAAATACTAGCGTATAATAAAATGGCTGTTGTGCTTTGGGGTTGCGTACAAGAAATGCAAAAGGAAATATCATCTTTGAAGAGTGAAATAACAAAATTAAAGAAGAAAATGAAACATGATAGTGATTAAAAATGTTCTAATCTAAAAAAGTATCTAATGGTCAATATTGACGAACAAATAGAAAAGAAACTCAATGAATAACTAGAGAAGATAAAAGGAGACTTAATTATCTTTAATACTATCCAAGGTTTAACAGACAAAACACAAAAGTTAGAAGATGAAATAGAACAGTTGAAAAACAAAAACAAAGGATATTGCGGCACTTCTTTTAAATGCTTACCGTTCAACTGTTGTAGTTTCTCATTACTGATGATTAATATTAATATTTGATATAATTATTAATCATCTTCATCAGTCCTTAAGACCTTCTCAAATCTGATGTAGAACATGTTATTTGCATCTTTTGCATTCGTGTTTATGTACAAGAAGCTATATGGAGCATCGTTTATCGCCAGTTGGTACATTTCATATAACTGTTGCTTGTTTACCAGTGCACTGTTTTCTTCAAAGAATGCGTTGACTTCGTTCATGTTTTTGAGTCTGAAAACAAACAGTGCCGATGCATTGAGCCTAATTATTGGGGCTAGCACGTTGTACTTCTGCGTGGACAGTATCACTGAAATTGCGTTATGTCTACCTCTTGTGAACAATCCGTGCAAGATACTTGAGTACCTTACAAATTTTGGGTCGTCCGCGAAATCATCAATGACTAATAATATACTGAATAAATCTTTATCTTTGTTCTTCTTCTGGAATTCCATTACCTTGTGTTGGGTGTCTATTATTTTCTGTAAAGCAGTTGCGTCGTAATGATTGAAATATATCTGTTCCTTTTCCGAGTCCACTTTCATTACATCCTTTATGTATTTCTTCACCGTGTTCCATGTGTCGTCCACATCCACACTAGGACTGAATATATAGATTCTCTCCAAGCTATTGCGGTAAATCTTCAATATTAAGTTCTGTATTAAAACTGTTTTACAGCCTGTACTTGAAGCCACAGCCAACATTCTTGCTGGTAAGGATGGCATCATCTCATACTTACTGTTTTTGAACTGGTACTTGGGTATATCAACTGGTTCTACTGTTGGAACATTATCGGTCATTATTAATAATATTAATATTAGTTAGAAAATTATATGTTATAATATATGAATTACGGTGATTGCATTAATGTCATTGACAACCTTGAAGAAATAGAACAGATAATTATAACAACGCCTAGATATCGTAGGTGTTGTTATTCGGTGTTGGAAATATGTAAAGGGATTTTGCAATATTTAAAATTGAAGAAAAACTAATATACATTAATATATGAGCGGTTCAAACAAAGAGAATAACAAAGATGGAACTGATGGCGGTGTAAGTGTAAATAAAGATGGCATTAATTGTCTGTTTTGTAGATGTAAAAGAAACACATACCATAAAGAAACTAAAACAACAACTGAAAATGATAAGGTTGTTGTTAATGTTGTAGAAGACCGTTCTAGTTCTACAATGGGTCGGGGCGTGTCGCCTGATGATGGAATATTTAAACCAGATACAGCGCCACAAGCTGGTGGCGTTGAACTTTGTAGTACGGGATGGAGTCAAAATCGGACAAATACACCCGAAGAGTGTGAGGAAAGACTAGATAAAATTGAAGAAGAAGGAGAAGATGCAAAAGCAGATGTTGAACAATTGAAAATTAATTTGAATATTTTGGATTAATATTTAGAAATATTTTTCTTATATATATTGACAGTTGTATAGTCGCACAGCCATTCGAGTCTCGTTCCTCGCAACTTTCGATTTCCCCCGGAAAGAAATGAAACAGGATGAACACCCCGAATGTGCGCCCATTGCTCCTAAATTGTGTGAGACCCAGACATCGTAAGTGAGCAAAAGAAAGGGGAGTATCTTGGAACACTTACATAATTGGTGCTACATAAGATAGAGCCGAGAAGTAAAAAGCTTTTATATAATACAAGTTTTATTACAAAAGTGTTCATTTAAAAACTTAATGTATATATAAGTATATGGGTGATAAACCTGACTTCAAGCAAGATGTCATCTTGAGACTGGATAGGATTGAGAAATATTGAATGAAAGACGCACGAGAAACTTTAACAGAATGCCAGTTGATGCAACGTTTGAGAATAAGAAGAATGCATATTTGACTAAACTGAATAACAAGGACATTTTACAACCGAAACCTACAACCCTTGATTATTTCAATATAAAGTATAACGAAGAGACGAAAACCTATTCATAATATTATCATCTAATAATAATGAGTGAAATAGATGATAACATTTCTGTTGAGTTTCCTACAGGTAGTGATTGTAAAACACAGTACATGCAATGTAAAGCATGTAAGCAAGTAAAATATGTAGATGAGTTTGTAAGTAAGCATCATATGAAGGTATATAATACAACATGTAGGGCTTGTTCAGATCATAATAAAAAATCTAGGCTTAAAGGGAAGGAATGATCACAGGGAGTTTTCTTATGGAAGGTTCTGAAAAAAAGCACTTAAAGAAATAGCGCCTTTATATATTAAATGTGAAATGAGTGACAATGAATATGAAACTGAGAGTGAGTATGAAAGTTCATGTGATGATGAATCTGAAAATTTTTATTATGAACTAAAGGAATCCAATTATTTCAAAAACTGTACTTCATGTAGACAAGTTAAGAACAGACAGCACCCTTCCGTGACCGCCTGCTGGTCAGGCCTGGCCTGACACCGACGATGCCGGTGCCTCAGTCCCAGCACATGCTGGTTCTTGTGTTCTGCGCTGCTCACCACGCCGAGCGAAGGACTGGGAGCCTCGACAACGGCATGAGCCCTGGGATGCTCACTTGGAGGAGCGCTAAGTGTCAATGTCGGGAACTGTTGATTGTGACGCCCAGCAAGCAGGACCCTGCTGACCAGGGCTGTGCAATGGCGCGCCGCTCTTTAGGGCTGTGCAGTGCAGCAACAAGAGCATTTGTGGAACAATGTGAGTTCCTGAGTCTGGGGTGCTATTGTGCCCCTGCATATGCGCTGCAGCTTTTGGGGCTGCGCAAACACTCATATCCATTCGACTGGACTCGCACATCGTTGCAGAGCATCCTGGATTGCATCGACGCGCGATTTATGGACTTTATGTGGTACTCAACCTACCAGCAGATGGGCCCTCACCACGTCTTCGGTGGCACACCTTGGGGCGGAGCCTTTTGGCACCACAACCCCTTGTGCGAGACCACGTGTAATGATATGCAGAAGCGCTCTCAGCGCTTTATGGGCCTCATGGAAGTTGGACCTCGCACTTCAAGATTCTTTATCCGAGTCGTGAATGCTGCGCATGAGATTCGCTTGCTGGCTGCAGTAGTTGTGTATCATCACCGTCGCCGCGTGGCACATTGCCAACTGCAATACGAGTTTCTTGTGAGGTCGATGTCTGGAATTACGCCACCGTCTGCAGAGTTTGTACGCAGGGGCTTCTTGTTTGCCATGGGATTCCACGTGTTGCTGTCATTCATGTTGTCAATGTGCTGGCGATAGACGGTGCAGTCTCGGCAGCCATGTGTTGAGGATGTCTATGTTGTTTTGGTGTTGGAGATGCAGAAGGACAGGGGACCAGTGATTGTGCTATTTGGCCGCATTGTGCCCTCTGTTTTCATGCACTGAGGCTGTTCTGTTGGCACGCATACTTGAAATTCAATTGCTTGTTCCAAGGAATACTCCAGATGGTGGCTGCGATGCATGGTGGTGGAAGTTGAAGGTTGTTGCGTTTACCGGCAGCTGAGTTTATCATCGGGTTACCTCGAGCCGTTGCTTTGACGCCTGAAGATTGGTTAAGGAATGTGTTTGATGATTATATATTACCCTTTACTAAATTATGTAAGTATCCAGAGCATAATGAAGTTCGTAAAATAATGCAAGGTGATGTTCTAAAGGACAAATATACACTTGAGGTACACCTTGAAATGAAAACAATGTATGAAAGCCTAGACAAGTTTGATTTTTGTAAATGGCATCAGGAGAAAAAGCAATATTACAACGACACTTTACAGTAGCCGCCGGAAACTTTGAAGGCGGCAATTGGAACGGTGGATGCGGCAACGGCATCTTCCAACTTTAGGTTTGACTTGGTCCCATCTTCCAACTTTAGGTCCCGGCGTTTGGACCTGACCAGTTAATGCAGTAGCGGTATCTTTCAATTTTCGGTTTGTGGGAAGCAGCTCCAGTAATGCAGAGAGAGAAACCGCAATTACTACGACCGCTCCAGTATTGCTGAGAGAGGGAAACGGCAATTGCTACGACCACTCCAATATTGCAGAGAGAGAGAGGGAGAAGCTGCAAGTACTACGACCGCTCCAGTATTGCACAGAGACAGAAACGGCGAATTAATACGACCGCTCCAATATTGCAGAGAGAGAAAATTTGCAATTACTAGGACCGCTCCAGTGTTGCAGAAGGAAAGAGATTGCAATTACTACGACCGCTCCAGTATTGCAGAAAGAGAGAAGTTGCAATTACTATGGCCGCTCCAGTATTGCAGAGGGAGATAAACTGCAATTACGGCGCCCGCTCCAGTATTGCAGAGAGAGAGAGAGAAACTGCAGTTAAATATTGGGTCTGACTTGGTCCCATCTTCCAACTTTAGGTCCCGGCATTTGGAGCGGTTCATGCGGTAACCAAAAGTTGGAAGGTTGCAAAATTGGAAGAATCCAAAGTTGGAAGATGTGGTTCATTCCAGCTGTGGGGTGCTGGAATTTGGGTGCGCATCTTCCAACTTTGCGGCTGCCACCATATGTGGTTATGCTGATTATTATCAAATGGTATATCATATGTCTCTTAAAACAATATATCATTTAAAAAGCGACGCCGATGATAAGATACCCTTTGAACTTTTATATTTAGAAGAAACAGCAGAGTTCTTAAATTATATGATAGTGCAAAATTCTATTTGAGCGTAACATAGCCTACCAATAGTAATTTAATAATAACATTATATTATTATTGAATGTACCACCCTACTACCCCATACTATGCCCCATAAAATGAATAAACCTAACCTTGCCCGTTGCGGGTTGTTACATCACCTGATAAATAGGATGAGATAGAGCATTTTGAGGATAATGGGCTATTAGTTGTGAATTATTTGGCTATGTATGTTCATGGTGATGTAGTTACCCAAAATGGGCGACCCCCTTACCTTGTCCATTTTGGATAATTGCACCTTGTTTTCTATATGGTAAAGTGTTTAGGATATTATGGCTATGATCTGGGCCATGGTGGTGCAATTACCCAAAATGGGCAAGGCCTTCCCTGACTCTCAGTCCTACCGTGTCCAGTGCTGCTTTCCACCAAGGCTCCGAGTGAGGCCGAACAGGAGGCCGCCCTTGCGGAAGGCGAAGCGTCGCCAGCTTCGCGCAGCCCACACATCGGACATCATCGCTTGCAGGTGTCGAGGAAATTCCTTCCGATACCCTCATGGTACGGTTAATAGGAGAGCTGGAGGAAGCCCGAATCAAGAAGGCCAGCGGGAGCCATGAAGCATTTCGGACCGTACGCGTGAGTCATGAGCTGGCTGGACACATTATGGAGGCCTTCCAGTCTCATGTGCCCGTAGTCAAGGGTGTGCCGGTCTCAATGTCCGATTGAGGCCTTTGAGAAACAGTGAGCAAGAAACAACATGTTTGGGGGGTGACGTGAGACGTAATCTGAGGTCCGCATGATGCTGGACAGATCCACCAGAAAGTCAAAGGTGACTTCCATGATTCACTGTTCGGGCTCGGGGGCTATCCGGAAGCCGGGTCAGGGCTTCTGCTTCGTGAATTTCTACACTGTCAGCGATGCTCCGAACCCAGCAAGAAGCCGGGTGTCGTTCAGATCCTCAGAGTCACACCGCCGCAGTTCGAGGCCATGACGGCGAAGAACCGGATGCTGGCTGCTGGGTCTATGATTGACTCGCGCAAGGTGGCAGCCTTCGCTGCAGCACGGCCCTCCACGTTTGTTTGTGCGCAAGGTGGCCATTAGCTTTGCCAAGCCTCAGACGCAGGAGCAGGCAACATGACACCACGGCCACGTCACCAGTCCGGCCGCGAATGTCTCAGGCTCTGGAGAGTGACATGAACGCGAGAGCAGAGCAGGACGTGATACAGGCCGAAACAAGCCCACAATGCGAACCGCTTCAAAGGGTTCAATTCTCCCGCAAAGGCCCAGGCTAACCAAGCCTTAAGCGGTGTCAACGCAGAGATGCCTCTTCGTCGCAGCAAGATGTCGCAGGATGCTGTGTGTATTTCCGATATCCGAGGTGGTCTTCCTACATGCAGTTCTGCCAGGAAGAGAAGGCTCTGCAGCCGACGCCGGGCGCTGGTCCGAGAGTGCCATGCCAGGAAAAAGAAAGCAGAGAGAAGCAGGCCATGGCTATGCGCGGCCAATTATCCTAACCGAAGGCGGCGGCCCATTACCGCGGCCGCGAGTGTCTCTCTTTGCAGGCCCTGTTGGAGGCTTTGGAGGCGAAGAAGCGCGCCTTGGCCCTCCAGGACAGGACGACCGGACAAGAGCCGTCCGTCGGCAGATTCGGTGGTGCCTTGATCTTGGTGCTTTTTGGCAGGCTGCGAGCGTGGAGCCCGAAGCTGATCACGGCCTGCTCCAGTAGAGCCGTACTCGGATCCGAGTATCAACGCACGCGAGACAAAGCAGCAATGTCTCCTTTCATTGCTTGTTGGATATCCTTGTGTTTGCTTTGGTGGCTGCAGGAAGGATTGAGTAGGTAGCACTAGCTGCACTTGACAGGGTGAATACAAGAAACATGGAAGATCACGGGATATCACGGGAAAGACTGGGTAATGTCCTGCTGCTTGGTGATTTTGGTCCATGAGCGGCGGATGCTTGACCCGATCAATGCTGACGAGGCTTTAGAGTCCATCTGTGTTAATTTGGCCACCGAAGGCCGGATTGCATGAGGGTCATGAGGCCTTCTGGCATAAGGATAGCGGATACTGACGGTCGCGCTTGTTATCAGCGGATTTCAGTCCTCAGGTCTTCTCTGGCTGCGAAGCTGATCTCCAACGCTTGAGCTTCGCATTCCATGTAATGTGCTTGATCGTCGGCTAGGCCGCTAGGCTTGCCGGCCCTGGCGTGGCGGCCTGGCCTTCTTTGCAGCGCGCTCTAATTTCCAGCTGTTGATGCTCGCCTGAGCGCGCACGAGCTTGGCAGACTGCTGCATTGGCAGAACTTTTCTCGAGTGCAGTCGACACTCGCGCGCGCATATGACTCTCATTCTTCTTTCACGATTTGCGAAAGACTGTCGCAGGTTGAGGCCTCTGTGAGTTGTGCTCCGTTCGCGCGAACACCCTTTCGCAGGACCATATGACCATGTGGCTTGTTGTGCCGCGCCGCTGCGCCTGCGCCGCTCCCATCCACTCCCACTCGGTTCCCAAGCTGCCGGCACGGCTTCCCAAAAGCTTGTCGAATTTCGGCGGAACCGTGATGGCGAGGTAAGCTTACCTATGGCTATCAAGTACGTCTGCTGAGCGACTTGAAAAAGGGCGGGCGGCCGGGGCTGCGGCCTTTGCTACCTGCCAACCAAACTTGGTGACGGGTGATAAACCGTCTTCCCAAACACTAAACGCGCTAAACACTAAAACCATAGAAACACCTCCTGAACCTCCACCGCTTCAATTCACTCGACCCTCGAAGCCCACTCACCTCAATTTACTGGAGCTTCGTCTTGGGGCTCACAGCTTCACGGTTTAGAGTTGAGTTTAGGGTTCAGCATATTTCAGCATTTGAGGTCTCGCCGACGCATAAAACGTGACTTGAAATCCCAACTTGCCTAATGCCACCAACGGGTGTGGTCGCTTCTCATCGGATCTGTCTGTTGGACATCAGGCAGCTTGACTTGGTAGAGCTTGGTCATGCTGCAGCCATTTGTGCTTGGGTGAGGAGGCCTTCCAACGGGCCGCCGGATGCACACACTTTGAGTGGTCCTCGATGATGAATGCCATGAGCTGCTTTGGGCCGAGCACTGACAATGTTTTTGTTCCCCAGATCCCCAAACCTCAACCCTCCAGTCTCCATAGTCTTCTTTCACGACTGAGCCGCAGAGTCTTCGTCGAAAATGCCGGTGTATACATATTGCAGTCCGAGCTGTTGTGTGCGCGCAGACTTTCACCGATGCAGCTAGAACCTTAATGTGGTCACAGCTTCGCATTGCTGTCGTTTTCGCTTTACTATTGTTGGTTGCAGCAACACATCAGGTTGTCCAAAGTCGTGAGCAGCTTAGCTCTCAAAGTTCGAAGGCCATGGAACGGTTGAATGGCCCAATGTCTTCACGAAGACATTGCGACTGCTGTAAGGCTCGTGCTGAACACTGTCTGGCTTTTGGGCCTGGTCGTTTCCGACACCAATTTAGCTTGAACATTGAAGCTAGGACGCAGGCCATGCCGAAGATCCCTCAATTCTGAATCTATGTCGAACCTGCAGCACCGAACAGTAAGAATCCAGCTCCTCAAGTTTTCAATTCCGAAATCATGGAGCACTGGGTGGCCGCCGACTGGCAGGAGACGCTGGCCTGCTTCGGGGTGAAAGCTTAGATACGTTTGGCGTTTAGATTCCCAGGCCAGGGTTAATGTGATCGCATTCCACGTTTATGGCAGGGGGACGACTGGTGGGCCACCTGGTACTTCTGCCAGGCCATCACAAAGGGCTGTTGTTCGTGATTCACCCTTTTCCCGGCTCGCTCTCCTCTCCTCCCTCCCTCCCTCCCTCCCTCCCTCCCTCCCTCCCTCCCTCCCTCTCTCTCCCTCTCTCTCTCTCTCTCTCTCTCTCTCTCTCTCTCTCTCTCTCTCTCTCTCTTCCTCTCCCCCCAGTCTTCAGACGAAGCCGTTTCAAGATCGGGCTTCTGGGAAATAGCTTCGGTTTGACAATGTGGCTCTATCGGAAAGCCGTTGCTTTACATCCATTGCCGAAGATGCAATTCGTCCCCTTTCCCTGCTTGTCGGAGTTGACGCAAAGGTCGTCAATTCCGACACTTCGGTGTCTGGGTGTCTTGGTCTTGGCAACGGTTCGCGTCTTGCGCACTGAATCAACCACTCAAGCACGCGAGACGCTGCGTTGTTGAGAGTGCTCCAAATGTAGTCCATCTCCCAGGCAGTGGAAGCTGGAGGAGGATGACCTGGGCCAGCCGAAGCTGAACCTTGTGGACGGCTTGCACCGCGACCACTTCTACGATCAATCGCTGTGCCAAGCGCCGGACCTGACGCTTGGCAGCAGAATGCGTACATGGCGGATCCTGGGTGGGGCGCCGGGGCATGCAAGAAGTCGCAAACTTCCGGAGTTCGCTAATGCTCTGGCAGGCGCACTGGTCGTCTCGTGACGAAGAAAGAGGGCAACCGCAAGTTCTTCCTCGCCTCAGACGATGGTGCTCCAGATGCAGATAAGAGTGTAGGGAAGCTGAATTCGTCGTGTGGCCTAGTGTCACTGTGTGCCACCGTCGCTGTGGCCTGCACTAGTTTGTGAGGTTCCCTCATGTACCTGAACGGGGAGAACGTCGTGGACAACAACGGCTGCCACGGAGAACACGAGAAGGGCAGCGGCGACAAGTTCCTGAAGCCAGGTGCCGACGAGATCGTGGTGCACATGTGCGAGAAGGGTGGCGGCGAGGTCTTGAAGATGCGCTGGGAAGGACGAGACAGTGGCAACTCCAAGGTCAAGATCCCAGCTGCCGTGCTCAAGCACGAGGAGGCAGTTTTGCAGCAGAGCATGCCTTCAGCTATGTTATAAGGTAAACTTGCAGTGTTCTGTTTTGCGATGGCTCCGCTGAAGTAACCGGACGTTCAGGAGTCGTTGTATGACCCCACACAGAGATCGTCTAGTGATTGGTACAAGCTCAACTTCTACACTGCTTTGATCCCCGAAGCTCACTGAAGCAGTTCCCAGGCTAGATAAGCCCTTGTCAACCCGACTGCTAACCCCAAAGTACACGGCTACTTAAGCTGGTACCCGTAGTGCCTTAGTCTCAAAGCTTCTCTGAGCCCCGAACCCTTGAACTTCCTTGAACCCCCCTGAACACGTGCCCCGGTGCAAAAATGGCATACGAACGATGCATTGCATTTACACCTACTAGAAGCTACAGGTTGTTGGTGTGTAGGGCTGGGATTCCGATCCTGTGTTCCCTTGCGCTCTGTACCCCGAAGTGCTGCCTCCCCCATCTCCCCCATCTCCTTTCCGAACGCGAGTTGCTGGCTTCAGGAAATGCAGAACGTGTCGGCAACGCAAAAGTATACGAGTACAAGCATATATTCGTACAATCATCTGGAAATAGAATAGTATAAAAATATATTCAAGTATAGCATAATGACATCTGATGATTTTGTGCTATTAAACAGTGAGTTATGACACTTGTGGTTTGTGCTGTGTGTGGGCTCTGAGAGCCACGAGCCAGGATGGAGCCGCAAAGGTGCAACGAGGTTTGCAGTGCTTCGATTCGACACTCACCTGGCGCCCTGGCGATGGCACAAATTTTCACTGGCTTGATCTCACATTGGTGACCACCTTGGTGCATGTAGCCGGTTTCATTGTGGACAGCCCGGCGGAGGCAGTTTTAGACGTGAAACCATTAAGCCGAGTGAACTTTGTGGAATGTGCGCATCGACCTCCGTGTCCGGGCAGCCGGTTCTCGGAGGCTAGTCGCCTTTGAGAGTTTGGATTCGGATGGCCTCTTTGGTCGACCTTGATTGCTCAGAGACTCCTTGATGTATTTGGGGTTCGGAGCGTGGAGATCCGACGACTCTAAGATTGCTTCTGCACAGCTGCTAGAGTCAGAGTTGCAGCTCTACATGCAGACTGTCTGATAGCCTCGGGCTTTAGGATTTCAGGGTTTGTAGCAGAGACATGACCGACCCTTATTGCAACATGTTGTAATGCAATGCGGCCCTGCCCAATCCACGCGATTGCCTTTTGCTTGAATGCTTCAGCTCAAACCAAGATCGCGCTTCTGTTAACCCACCCCGCTTGCAAAACACATGGCAAAGCACCGCAGCAGCTGGCTGCCACTTACATCTAATGCGGCGCTTGCTTTTGCATGAGCACCCCCAAATCAATTTGTAAAGTCTCTCTATAGTACTATTTGAGCCTGATCCTCTCGCGGGAAGCTACCCCGACCTTGTCTCGCAGCGGCATAGCTTCCGCAGCTTGGTGCTATGGCGTTGGCCGAGCTGGTGCTTTGCGCAGGAGCTGGGAGTAGTGAGTACTACTGCTGATTGGAAACATCCTGCATGACCTGACCATACTTCAGATTTTTGTGTAACACACAATGCAGGATCTTCAATAGTAGAGAGCAAGAGCAACAATACCAATGCCCTTGTGTTCAGAAGTTGACCATGCAAAACCTCCTCGGTGATGTGAACGGGAAAAGCAGAAACAGGCAAAAAGGCCATGATGTTTAAAGGCTTCGCAGTTCACTTTCCTCAATGCAGCGAATTGATCCTGACTCACTCCAGAATCGCTATGTGGTTTAGATGGTCCTTATTTTGTGCCCCTGCTTCTTCCGCTTTTCAAAAACTCAGTTCACTTCCTACATTGGCGCAGCCTGCAGGAGACCCATGTGCATTGGCAGCGCAACAAGCGCAGGCCCATGTGCGAGCGGCAGGATTTAGGGAATCTAGAGAATCTAGGGAGCGGTTTTCTGCACCTTCCAAAGGCGTGTTGGGTTTGAGGCATTTGTAAGGTTTCTGGTGGCACATTCCAAAGGCCAGCTCAAAAGTCCCCCAGTCTCCAAGTCTCCAAATCTGCCCAGGCCTGGCTTACCTGGGTCTCCGCGAGGGCACAGGCAGTCAACGCATCGGAGTCATTGTTTGTCAATGTGCCAAAACACCCGTGAATCAAAGAAATAACTTGTGAAAAAGGTTGGAAGGGACGCTGCAAGTTTACTGATGTGTTCAAGATGACACGATCACCCAGATGCATGGGACGTGGTGTTTCCATGGGCTCCAGACAAACCCGTGACACTCCAAGCCTCACTAAGCCCGCTGTGTAGGCCTGCGTCCGAGTCTCATCCGGGCAGCCGGCGCACTTGCCCTTTGTCTGTGTTCGCGGCTCTCCAGAGCACAGGGCTATCTTCACATCACCAGGGTTTGGTGCCATATAGAAGCAGCTGAGGCCGTTGCGGTGTGTGAACGGCTACCAGGAGGCCACAGCGGAAGTCTCCCCTGAAGACATTAAAATCATTAAGCAGTTCTCCTGTAGCCCCCTTCAAGCTAAGTTTCTCGTCAAGTTGTCCTTCAATTTTTTCTTGAGTTCCATCAAGCTTCGCTTTCAAAGCACTCACCACATTGAAACTTACGTTGAGTGTGGAATCTTGCGTTCTCGCTCGTTTTGGTGACTTGCAGGACATTGAAGTTGGTTACGGCTTGCCCAGCGGAAAGCAGCCTGGTTGCATGCGTTTTCCCGCCGTCGTTTTGTTTCAACATGCATTTGGGAAGGAGCCTCGGTGACCTGTTGCAAGGCCGGACATGACACTGCAGATGACGCCGAAGGAGCTGCGGTCAGAAACAGTGGACACAGCTTCGTGACTTGGTGGGACGTGGTGTTGCATCAGTGTTGCATCATCGTGCCGTGCCTCTATTGAAAGTGTGCGGGCCGTGACAAGATAGTCACAATGAGGTCCCGTCCGCACCGGCCCAGCGCACAGACAACATGTCCGTCGCCGAGCCACAGTTTTCAGGACAGCCTAGGACTGCAGTGGAAACCAGGAGTCCCCAATCAGGTCCTTGGTAGAGGGCTGTTTAGGCGCTTGCGATTTCGCCTGCCATGTTCCTGACCAAACATTCACGACACAAGAGTGAGTATCTTTAACGTGAGTTCTGCCAGGATGATTTTTCCGATTCTGACTCCGGTGTGGAGCCGGGCAAAGACTTGGACTCCGCGGAGACTCTTTGCAGGCCTGGCTCATGTGGGCTTTGATGTGTAGGGCCAGTCTGGTCGTAAAGGTGCTTTGGTTCCCTTGAACTCCTTGCCGGACACTTCATGAAGCACTTTCCCTTACATGGCCGGCCTGATGTAAGTCCATCGATTGGGTGAGAATCCATGCAAACATGTCCATCTTCGTGCTGTTCTTTGAATGCGATCAGGGTGCAACATTGTGCCGTGTTAGGGCATCATGTGCTTACACTGTCTACGACATTTGCTATCATTTGGCCACAGCAAGGCATTTGATGCGTCGCATCCAAGAGCTGGAAGACCAGAATGCCCAGCTTCGTGAGGAGCCGCTTGGCAAAGTTTGCAAGAGCTGCTGGCACGAGCTGAAGCTCTTGGAATTCAGCTGCGTCGCTTTGTTCAAGGAAGGCGCGTCAACGTAAGGCTTGGGGTCTTTGTTTATCAGGATCATGGAGACATAGGACAGACCTGCTATTGGGTCGGCTACTGCCCTTTTGCATCACATTACATGCGCCACAGCGTCTCCAAGGACAGGCATTGTGTGCCGCACAATCGCCATAAACGGCTCAAACTTTGATCTGTACTCTTTGATCCTAGAACGGGGAGCATTTCTTCGTAAGCGCAAGGGATTACGACAGTCGCTTTTGGTCGTCATCTTCGTGCCATGCGTTTCAAGCGACGTGCCTTTTCAACCTCGCCATGCCCTGTGAACGTTGCAAATCTGAGGAACAGCAGCTTGTCAGGGAAGTGCGCGCGGTTGGAGGAACCCATCATTCATCATGTTTTGGCGATGGATCGGAGCCACCGGGCACTGCACGACCGCTACTGAGTTGCCAAGTACCACTGCCATCGGTCCCCTTCCCCTTAACATGAATTCCTAAACCACCCTTCATAATGGAAGAACAACATTTGTGATTAGTGCTTGCCACTATTGCTACCCAATCACGACACAGTCAATCCCCTTCTCCTACAGTCCTATTTGGTTTCTTCCTCCCTGTTGCAACACTAGCACTCTGTAAAATCCTTGTCATAAGGGCCTTCACAAAGGGATCCGCAGAGCGCTTATTTGCAGCTTACCTATGATTGATGCAGAAGGTTGTGTTGACGCAGAAGGTTGTGTTGACGAGAAGCCGATTTTGAACTGCCCAGTGTACAAGACCAAGTAGGGTAATGAGTCAGCTTGGTTTATTCTGTGGAGCTCCCTGGCCCTAGCAGAGTGCTATATACTCTGCGGAGGGTCATTCGTCAGCATGAACTGCATGAACTTACCAGGACTGTAGACCCTCATTGATCTTCAGCTGCGAGGTCGACTCCTCCCGCTTGTATCCGCTTGTGTTCCCTGTTTAGAGCCAGTCCTTTCCACGAACCCAAGACCTTAAGCCGTTCACCCGGCACACGCAGTGTTCTGGAAAGCGCGGCTAGTGAGATGCTGCAGGAGATGGCCAATCTTGCCAGCGGAAGGCCGCTTGGAGGGTCACAAGCATACCTCGAAAGTGGGATTGTTGCAATGATCTGCTAGCAGGATCCCTAATTGTAAACGCTGGGCCGGCTCAGAGTAGCGTGCTTGAATAGTTACGTGGCAGGCCAGAGCTGCTTGCCCATGCATGAATTGAATCGGACTAAGCGCCCACGTTGGAGGGTAAAGTGCTTGACAGGTCCCGGTAGGGCCAGGAAGGGTGTTTCAGGAGATCTTAGAGAGGGTCCAAATTTTTTGGGGTTTCAGGGGGTCCCAGAGAATGCAGGGTTGCAGGGATTGAAACGCCACTCCTGACACCCCCTCGTCTAACCCTACCGGGACCACTTTAAACCGTCCTGAGACCCCCTCACACCCTGGGACCCCCTTTGTTGGGAGCCCCCTTGACTGCTTGACAATTCCCGGCAGGGCGCTCCCAACACAGCCCACGTCCCCGAAACGTCCTAGGCACTCCCAGCGTGGCGTTTCAGGGCAGGGGTGGGTCCTCGGATCGGTCCCCGAGGTGCCGGCAGGTCCCCGGATTCCGTGGCCATGGGCCGCCATTCCTTGCATTTTTTGAGCGTCCCCGCTCTGTGGGGGCTGCCCTCCACGGCATCGGTTTGCAGCTCCTCCAAGCGATCGGGGGGGGTCCCCCATGGGCAGGGGCCGGATCCCGGTCTGATTTTTGGAGGCTCCCAGATCTGAGTTGTGTGAGGTGTGTAACATGTTGACATGGGGTGTTGTGTTTTGAACCTGAGCAAAGAGGCCACCAGAGTTACCGGAGTTTGACGACATGACACCTCACGGACCTTCTGATTCCGCTCTCCCAAACCTCCACCATGACGAGGCGTGGGATGAAGTGCGACTGAGCCTGCTTCAGTTTTCAACTTGCTTTGGAACCCCCATGATCTGATCATCTGAGTTGTGCTGAGTTCTGTTGAGTTCTGAGCGCAGGCTGCAGAGTCAACAGAGTCGCAGAGCGAGCGCGAAGTGGAGTCTGCCGTCGGGCCGCTCGAGCTAATACGGACCATGGCAAAGTGGCACCTAGCGGTTCAAAACAATCCAAACCCAAGCAAGCCCAGTATGTATCAATCAGGAATATGTTTCCTGGATTCCCTGGAAACTCAGATTGATGGTGATTATACTCGTAATTCTGATTCGGAGATTTGCAGGCACGCTGATTTTGACCGTCCAGACCACGGTGCTTTTGACGGGGACTCTCAGGCCTTCAAGCTTGCCAGTGTGAAAATCTGCTTGGAGTGCTTGGAACTTGGAAAGGTCAGAAGTGGGAGCACGGGTACAAAGATGGA